TTAGTTTTCGGCGGACACAACATCTTTGTTGGTATGTGGTGCTGAGAATTGAACCCGGGCCGCACGCATGCCAGGCGAGCGCTACCGCTTGAGCCACATCCCCAGCCCTTGACTATAATTTTTATATCAAATTATGTAACATTTAGAGATACATTTGGGGGGTTGGGGATGAATCTGAGTAGTAAAGTGCTTGCCTAGCATGTGCAAGGCCCTGGGTTTGCACCCCCAGAACCAGAAAAGATAGACAGGCATTTAGTAAAAGTTAAAAAATAAGTCTCCAACTATTGTGGTTTAACAAAAGAAAGGCCTTCTGTGTAGCACTTGGTCTGGTTCCATGACTCCAAGATGGTAGGACCCCATGTGCCTCAAGGCTGCAGGATGGCTGCAGAGATCTAGCCCAAGCCCACATTCAAAGGGGCAACGGCCACTTTGCTCAGGGAAGCAGTGTCATTGGCTGAGCAGGAGCTAGGAAGGCTGCAAAGCAATGGGTCCAATGACAAGGTGAGACAAACAAGCCTCACCCACAGGAGGATCTCTGGTATGAACAACATTATCTTGATGGGAGGCACTGAGAGACAGCCAAGGGCTCTGACTTCCTGACATTCCACTGCTCCAAAGAGAGCCATGGACTGCGGGCCTGGGTGGGAAGGGCAGGCCAAGACCCTCCAGCCCCTCCAGGGCTCCCCTCCCTCCTGCACTGTCCTCCCTCTGTCTCCCCTCCCTCCTGCTCCCTCTCTCTTCTGCTCCCCCTCCCTCCTTGTTTCCCTCCCTCCAGCTCCCCCTCCCTCTGCTTTCCCCCATACTATACTGTCCTCCTTCCTGCTCTCCCTCCCTCTACTCTCCCCCCTCCTGTACTGTCCTCCTTCCTGCTCCCCCTCCCTCCTACAGTGTCCTCCCTCCTTGTCCCCCTCCCTCCTGCTCCCCTTCCCTCCTTGTCCCCCTCCCTCCTGCTCCCTCTTCCTCCTGCTTTCCTCTTCTTCCTGCTCCCCCTCCCTCCTACAGTTTCCTCCCTCCCGCTCCCCCTCCCTCCTGCTCTTCCCTCCAGTACTGTCCTCCCTCCTACTCCCCCTACCTCCTACAGTGTCCTCCCTCCTGCTTCCCCTCCCTTCTGCTCCCCTTCCCTCCTTGTTCCCCTCCCTCCTGCTCTCCTCTCCCTCCTGCTCCCCTTCCCTCCTACAGTGTCCTCCCTCCTTGTCCCCCTCCCTCCTGCTCCCTCTTCCTCTTGCTTTCCTCTTCCTCCTGCTCCCCCTCCCTCCTACAGTTTCCTCCCTCCTGCTTCCCCTCCCTCCTGCTCTCCTCTCCCTCCTCCTCCCCCTCCCTCTGCTCTCCCCCTCCTGTACTGTCCTCCCTCCTCCTCCCCC